CCGAGGGGCTTGGACATCACACCGGTGCCCTAAAGAGATGCTGAGCTCAGCGCCATGGCCAGAGCCCTCTTCATGCACCAGAGGAATCACGGAGGAGCAGGGCTTGGTTGGCCCCAGTTGCCCAGTTGGCCAGTACTGGGGCAGGACACCAGCCCTCTCCCAGGCTGGTGTCCTACCCAGATGCCGTCACTGGTTCTGCTGCTTCCCTCCGTGCCTTTGCATCCCCCTCGCCTCAGATAGATGTCACACACAGCACGACCTATGGATCCAAAAGGCCAATAAATGTGTTGTCTGTGGACACTGGGACCTGCTTTGTGCGCTGTTAAGTGGGGGAACTGGTGAGGGCAGAAGAAATGGATTCGCAGAGGTCCCCCAGGGGCCTGCAGCCGGGTCCCCCCCACTCCCACCCGCTCCAGTGTCGGTTGAGCTCTGGCACCAGCATGCCCGGTGTCCATCCATTTGCCTCCTCCTGGCTTGTCACGCATCATTAAACTCCAATTCACAAGAACTGCACGCTGGCCCCCAAGGAAATCAAGGAGGGATCAGCATCAATTATTTACTAAACCTTGATAAATATTACAATAAATAGCAATGCTTTCCATTTAATCTCTTCTTAAGCAGCAGGGTCTGCTGCCTGCCCGCTCAGCCATGTTTCCAGTTCTGCTCATGGCCCCAGCCCCATGAGTGTGTCGTGGTGTGTGGTGCCACCACAGCCACGGCTGGTGCTGCTGCGAGAGGCTGTGACCGTGATGCTGACACTGCTGGGAGGGTGACATGTCTCTGCTGGGACACGGAGCAAGTGCTTCCAACATGGACTGCTCCTATGGGCACCCCAGCACCACATCACTGTAGTGCCAGCCCTGGGCATGTGGTACCCAGAGGAAAGATGCTCCAGGAGGTTGAACAGCACAAAGTGCCCGACCAGAAAGTGGCTCTGGCACCTATGTGGGTCTGCTCTGGGACACTGGCACAGCTCGCTGGGGGCCTGTGGCTGGTACAAGTGAAGCCTGTGCTGGGCACTCCTGGTGGGTAAAGCAACGTGGGAGCCGGCACATCTGTGATGAGGGCAGCTCCGGTTCCCTTGTGGTTTTGGAGCAGCCCCTCAGAGGTGATTATTTCCACCTGTTGAGGGCTGGTGGGACACAGAGCATCACTGAGGAGTGGCCATGCCACTTGGGCAGCC